GTCAATGTCCACCTAGGAAAGGTCAGCATTAGTCAGCATTTCAAATGGTAGATTTGTGATTCTTACTCAATTCCTACCCACCTCTGCTCCAGAAATCACACATTTAAAGAACGGGAAGATATTCATAGAATCATAGAATGGTTGGGCTGGAAGGGACCTTAAAGACCATCTAGTTCCAACCCCCCTGCCATGGGCAGGGACACCTTCCACTAGACCAGGTTGCTCCAAGCCTCATCCAGCCTGGCCTTGGACACTCCCAGGGATGGGGCATCCACAGCTTCTCTGGGCAACCTGTTCCAGTGCCTCACCACCCTCTCTGGGTTCAACAAGCGTATCTCAAATTGCAATTATACAAACAGAAGGGTCGATACAGACAAACAACAGAAAGCCAAGCCAAGAGGTCTAAATTAAGCAAAGGTCTACAAATGCAGACGCTTAATGCAATTTGCTCCTTTAAGCTTTGTTTATTCAACTCAGAGGCTGTTTAGTGTGCACGTATTTTCCCTGGAATCAAAGAGAAAATGGCCAAAGGTTATGGGGTTTTTATTTTTGTAATTTTAAAGCAAAATTATTTTAAGCAATAAGATAAAGCAAGTTTGTGTCTGAGCAGTCACAATCCTTTGGCTACTGCCACGATATCTGCGTAAGCCTGTCACGACGTCACGTGTTCGACAGCGTGACTTGGCACTGATGCCGCTGCATCACGCACACTAGTCTGGCACACGCACCACCCCGTCTCACCGTTTCCCTCTTTCCTCCTCCCTCCCCTGCAAGCGACTGGGAAAGTGTTGCTGAGTACCTGGGATCAGTGAGAACCCGCGTTCACGCAAAGAGCAGTGACTGATGCCTTGTTTTCAAAGGGAAGTGTCCAACCCCTCACTACAGAGAAGTCAGCTTACGCTGAATGCCCTGACACAACTCCATTAAGCGTTTTTCTTCTGAACAAAAAACATCCCATCTGCGCAACTCCCATGTCCTACTGACAGCTTGAAAACCATGATGCAAGGTGAAGCAATGTTTCTTCCCATAGCATATCAGGAATACTTACTTCAACAACCAAGATGATTCAGATCAGCTTCAAGCAAAACATGAGTGGCTGCTTATTTAAGCAAGAATAACTTGGATTCAAGTAATTATTACTGATGCCAAGTTAAATTTGAGTCATTACCCGGTCGAGTCACTGAGCAGAGCATGTCATTCACATCCATGATCTAGATTCAGCATACATCCCCAGAAATTTGATGACAGAATCCATGTTCATTCATCAACATAAAGGCCTTTTTCTTTTTAAAGAAAACATTCAGGAAACATTTCAGCATTTTCTTTGATTTGAAGTAATGCTAAAGGTGTGTGTGTATTTTATCCATGTGATACTGAAAAGCAAAGACATATGTATTTTTTAAAACAAATCAACTGGATTCACTCAATGGCTGAAATGAAACATGACAAAAGACCCTCCCAGCAGCTACTGCCTTGCAACTGTTTTTATGAGCAGAAAAATCATTACACAGTGAACCCCTAAAATCCACCAACACTGAACCAGCATCACATACAATAAGAACAAACAAATTCCCACTCTGTTTCCAAAGAACAACTTCCTTTTGCTATTAGAGCAGCAATCGAGATTCCAAACTGTATCTATCTATATATATATATATAAAAATTCAAGCTGGAACAAGGCAGTTCTTTACAAACCCCATCCATTTTTTTGAAGTACACCAAATAAAAGATTGCCTGTATCTTGCCATGTAAGAACAGTGCAACAAAAATCCTTTATTGCCAACCAGGAAACAGTTCCACGTGATTAAAGCAAAGACTTGTGCCCTTGTTCAAAAACAGTCAGATAATAAAGTATCAGACACTAATCATGTCCATACAGTTTAAGTCTGCTTCCTTGTGTACAAACACAAGAAGAACAAATCACAGATTTTCTGCAAAACTAAGCCTTTTTCGCTGTGAGACATTTTTTGGCGAGTGAAATGAAGGAAATGGTTCAGATACAGTGAACAGCTGTCTCACAGAGTTATCTCCCTAAGGAAGAAAGTTCTGAAAGGTATGGTCTCTGAAGCTTCCGAGTATGTCTGAAAACTTAATATACACAAGGAGGCAGGACTGATGAAAAGCTACATGTAACCTTAGATTCACAGCCTTGCTACTGCAACTCTGCAAAATACAAAATCGTTTGGTATGAAAAAGTTGAAATAAAACATCTTTCACATGACCGCGAGTGCATAGTTTACAAGTTCAGCCCTGTCTGCCTGTTGTCAGTTTTACAGCAGAGACGGACAATGTTTTGACAGATGACAATCCAGGATAAGCCCTCTATCACTTTTCACTTTTATTGAACATTTTCTGCAATGGCAGATTACAACCTCACCTCAGGTTGCACGCATCAACTTAAGCCACGATAAATCAATACCTTTTGAAACCCAAATCCTAGTGGAAGGGGTTAGGTAGCGGTTGGTTTCTGTAGTTAGAGAAATTACAACAGTGTAACAGTCACTCATAAAAGCAGTTATGGTGCAAGAGGCTCTTTGGTGCCAAAAAATTGTCAGTGATCCATTTATGAAAGCTACTGAATAGAAAGCAATCCAAATTACAAGTCTTCCTCACAGCGCTAGGGAAGCATTAAAGGACACTGTAGACTCCTACACCTTGAGCAGTCCGCGAAGAAGTATCACCATTAAAGAAAAGCTGTATAAAAATCAACAGCAAAAGCCTTCAATGAGAAAGTACACCCCATGTTTCATCCTGAAATACAGGTCAGGTATGGCCCAGCTCTGCAGCAGGCTTATTAAATAATCAGATTTAGGTGATCTACACATGGAGACCTGAAAGATCACTGCCTTAATCTGACACCCACTCACACAGGCGTTTATGTGGCAGTGTGCTTCTATCATCTAGATCTTCAGTAGTGCCTAAGAACATACGGCTTACACACCAGCATGCATCCAGAACACAGTCATATGTCAAACACCACAATTATGTAGAAACCCCCAGATTTCAACTGAAAACTAAGAAATCCTGAAGTAACTTGCAATTCATTGATCTACTGACTTGTGATTTTTTTTTCAACCGGCTAAGTGTAACAAAAACACGGACTTATGGGGTGTTTTTTCCCCAAAGTACAGGTATAGGCCGAACCTTGCGTAGATATACGCGTATATATAAAATCTATAGAAAAACAGAAGTCCTGTAGACGAGGTTCCTAACTTGAGCGGAAAAACATTACATATACCATCAAGGAGAAACAGAGACAAGGGGCCAATTCTGTCATCACAAGCACTTATGGTTCCACACTAACTGCAGTCATTATTGCATGCATTAGATGCCCAGAGTTACAGGTATCTCTGGGTACTGCTCTTCCAGCATATCTCACTTTCAGCCTGATCTAAAAGTCAAGGTACTACTCAGCATGTCAAGTAGTTGAGGAGGGAAGAAACCTCACGTGATTTGCTATAGCATTAAGTGTAGTTATTTGCCCAACCTGGCTGGGTTTAACAAAACGGCAAGTTTCCATTTCAGAATTTGTTCTAACTTGCAACACCTGCATGGTAAGAAACAGAAAAGATACGCAGCTTCTCAGACACTCATTTAGAACTATCATCTCTAAAATCAAACATTCCATTTCTTTTAAAATGCAAGTTTGCTTCACTGAGCTATCACTGCAAATCCTATTTAAATCATGCCTGCCTCGGCGTCGTGCACAGCTGGAACATCTGCACCCCCTAGCTGTCACGGGTAAGAGACAGTACTTGTATCTATCTTACATTCATTTTCAACTTCAAATTTATTGAGGCAGTTTATATCAATGTATCCATAAAATAATTCAGAAGTTACCCAAGTATACCATTAACATCTTCATGATTTATCCATTTACACACTCAGTACACAAACAACCCAGCCTCTGTACAGGTTCATCACATGCAAACCGCCCATAAAGACAAAAACTTCAATTAAAAAGAAGTCACAACTCAGTGTACTGTTTCAACTGCATCTCCATTTACCAAATGGCACATTGAATATTCTCTAAAATAAGATGTTTTTAACAATCTTGTTAAAAAATTCTTGGGCAAAATATTTCTAGACTTAAAAAACATCAAGATTTTTCAAAACACTCAAGATACTATACAACTTATAATAACCTTGAAATAGGTTTACAAGGTTGTTAACCAAGGTATTTACATACCAAATAACGTAAAGCAAAAAATCCGTATTTCTAATGACAAAAAGGTGATGCATTAAAGATTTATGAAATTAAAATTAAGGCTCTTTGTTATACTTCTTTGTGTAACTTTACATAATAGCCAACTTTGGAAATGTCAGTCTTGCACATTCTCATCCATCTACTGCGTTTCAAGCAGCAGAGTATATTAAGTATTACTTTGAATAATTACATTGCTACTTCTATGTTTGAGCATGCTTTTGAAACACTGTAATTATGAAATATTTACAATGTGTAACCTTCAAACTTTATGTAAAAGCGCAAGTATGACTGTCTGATTTGAGTACAAACAACATACTTGTAAAAAACAGGGTTTTTACTTCTTAAAATTAAATGCAAATTACTAGCCTTAAGAAGCAAACGAGCTCTGAAAAGTTTTAACGTGTGCCTGAATGTGGACAGTAAAAGTTGTGTGAAGTTACTCAGACAGTACTGTTTTTCATTGTAGACTGAACTACCCTTTGTATCAGACTGTTTTCTTTAGGCATGTAGAAAAATTAAATATTTTAAAAAAATTATTCCAAGACCTACATATGCTTTCTGAGCTATGCCCACCGGTTTCTGAAAAATCAATACTGTCTAGCAGGTTGTAACGATTGGTCCACAGTTTATTTCAGGATGTGTGTTCAACTAAAAGCAACTTGCTGTTTTTCAACATCGTATCTCTTAAAAAGCACAGTGATATAAAACACTGAAGACAGAACCAAAAAAAAAAAAAAATGGAATGGTAACCTAAAGATCAAATTCATTAGCCATTTCTCCTACTATATCAAAATTTGTAGTCAGAATTGTCTTTATTGACTTTATTTTTAATTTTTGTACACAAAGAAAAACATGTTCATATCCATCATGAACAAAAACTTAAAAAGGCAGAACTAGAAGACATTTGTGTCCTTCACCAAAGCAAAGCTGTGCTAAAGGTTCCAAACATTTCCATTTTTAAAATAAATATTTTTCTTTTTTCATTGTCTACATTCCAGTCTTCAGAATGTCACTGGAAACTGCAGCCTATCATGAAATACACACTTTTAAACAGAGTCCCAGCTCACTGCGTTTGGTAACTTGCCATACCATATCCAGCTTGGTTAGGTATTACAGGAGCACCTTGTCCCTGGGCAGGCTGAGCACCAAATCCACCCATCCAGGCAGCAGATGGAGATTGGCTTAAAAAGAAACAGGATGGTTAGAAAAAGGAAAGGGAAAAATAATCACGGAAGCTGGTTAAGTTATTTAAAAAACAGACTTCAAAAAACCCCAAACCCCATACTTCCTATACTACTATTCATACCAAGAGAGAACCATGTCTTCTTCGCTGTAATGGAGTTAAATTCAAGTGCTACAACATGTGATTCTTGAAAATAATCACAAGCTTTTTAAGAACAAAGGGAAAAAAAAAAGCCCCACAAATGTTGGGTACTAGTTGCATAGGCCAACCGCCTCCAAAGGGTGTAAGCCAACATCAGCGATGAAGAAATGCAAGGAATTCCGAATGCCCAACTGGTGTCAATACCAGTAACAGGTTTATCAGGACTCAATGTGTTTAACTGGCAAGAGATAACGACGAATTACGTGAACAAAGAAGTTATTATTTTAAAATAAGTCTGTTAAAGTTGTGAAGGCTTGGTCTTCAAGAGACCAAGTATTCAAAGCCCACCCAAATCCTGAAACTGCACAAATTAAATCTGTCAGGACGTAGTTTCTCCTCTTGAGGGGTTAAGAACCCTTTGGGCAAATACCTGGGCTCCCTATCTCAGACTCTCCAGTATTCACCACCTCAAGTCAGATGCATACCATTTTTAGATATCCAACAAATCACCATCCAAAACCCTACCATAGAAGTCCTCTTGCCTCACCTCACAACACCCACACACGTAAAACGTGTGAGCAAGTACAAGTCATAGTGCCTCACCCTGTTACGTGGTCCGTGCTCATCACGAAACATAAGCTTTAAGCACACAGGAGCCCACCCGAGGCTTGAAACCTTGTGCAACCTTTGAGCCACACAAGCCTGAAACTCAGATGTAACATTGTTGGAATATTCTAAAAAAATTCAATACATTTACTCACTCTACTCCAAAGCCCTGTTGATTCCATGCTTGGCCGTACATTCCGTACGATGGTACTTGCCACCCGTTAGCCATATATTGCCCATACTGTTGTGGATTTCCGTACACTTGGCTCCACTGCCCCCACTGACTGTAATCCACCTAAGGAGAGAGTAATTCACAGTACTTCAGGTTCTGGAGATGGATTATGTTCCTTTTGTGCTTTTGAAGGCAAAAATACTTGGCTGTATCAATCACAGGGCTAAAAAGAACAGTAATGAGATCAGAAAAATAAGACATCACTGTGACTTAATTAGATCCTTCTCCTGAAAAACATGTTTGTGTAATTGAAACGCCAGAGATTATCTGGCTGGACAGTCAGCTACTCTGCAGTTAGTGAACTAGCAAGAATCAGAATTATCATAGAATCACAGAC